CCCCAAAACCCCAAAACCCCAAAACCCCTTTTCTTGAGGCTGCGCCAGATTTTAGTGGGATTTATCATGAATTAATCTTTTCATAAAGTCCAGATAAGGTGCAGAGCACCTTACTTGTCACGCAAAAAACATTCAGAAGTAACGGACTTACACATGCAACAGCTGGAGCTCATCCAAAGGCTTGATAGGCTTCTTAGAGCCAGCATCACCAGTTTTCTGGCGCTTTGAACCAGAAAATTTTCTTTGTTTTGCTCTACGAGGAGATACAATGTTTGGATACTCTTTCTGGATTCCTTTGATTTCTCGTTTCAACTTCTGTTCGTACTGTCACTTCTCAAGAAGAGTTTTCTGCATGGTTTCCAATAAGTGTCTCAATTTATCATTTTCCTTCATGACTTTAGCCAACTTTGAATTTTGTTCCGCAAAATGTTGCTCTTTTTGGCTTTGAACCAAGAGAAGGTTGTTCACACAAGAATGGGTATCCTTGTCACGCCGAAGGATAACAGTCGAACAATTTGTTCAATAGATCTGTTCATAGATGCAATCTTGATCCAAGTGATCATCCACTTGTTCAGTTGTTCCTATATAAGAACATTCTGGAGAATGATCACATTTAGACACATTTCAGCAGGAATTCTCTAAATGAGATTGAAGGTTCTTTCGCATAATTTTAGTTTGGCAGTATTCTCATGAAGTGTATGAATAATCACAAATGATTTCGTGCTTTCAGAGATCATTTAGCGAGGAAAAAGTAGCTTCTCATCCTTTATCAGCCTGTTCTCACTTGAATTCTAATCAGTCTAAGAGGAAATCCTGATCTTGGTTCTTATTATCAGTGAAATTTCCTGGGCATTTTTTAAGACAATTCTCACCACTCTCAATGAGAAAATCTTCCTGTCAGTTTGTGCAGAACTTAGACCCACAATCTATACAGTGAAGGATTGGTCTCTGTAGCAAATCATGGCAAAGACTTCACTTGAGCATCCTGGCTACTTGGACTGCTTCTTTCTGGCTTGGTCCAAATATCTTTCTAACTTGAGCTTGATTTTTAGGTGAATTCCTCACAAAAATCCTTGAAAACAGCTTAAGTCATTTCTGCTCGGTATCTAATCAATATTGAGTGTCATGATGCTTGCAATAGACATGCTCCATCTCTGTTTCAGATGATCAGCCCTCAGTCGATTCAGATTGAGGTGCTAGTTTCCTCTTCCTATACTTCAAAGTTGGTAAATCTCAAGTTGAGCCTGTCACTGAAATCCTATTCTGGTCACTAATCCTTAAAGCATGGGCCGCCATATTTGTAATTTGTTTAAAATATATTAAATCAAGTGTGAATTTATGAAGTCACCAGATCTGGTCAACTAGTGCGGCGCATAGAGGGGTTTTGGGGTTTTGGGGTTTTGGGGG